CAATTCCATGACCCAACATCTTCAAGTATCGCTCTACTGGTACATTGCAATCATTTTCCGAGTTCAACACAGACTTTATACAAAATTGTGAGACTTTCTAAGCCATTCAAAAATCTACTAAATGAAAGGAAAAATTGTTAAAAGAATACACCTTCTTCAATGCTAGGAAGGGTCTTCCTGAACAACTCATCTTCTCAGTGATAAACGGCGTCCATGAAGCATACAAAAGGTTTACCATTCATTTTCTTCACTTCTTCCTGTGCCTGTTGGGATTAACTTTAACAATCTTACAACCCGACTTGTCACAGCCACCGTCCAATGAGAAGCTCCCACTGGCATTAAATCCTAGACTAGTTGATGCCTGGCACGTAGATTGGTTTTCCTCAGCAACTTGATTTGGTTGGCCACCAAATTGAAAGGGATTGACTTGTGATGGATTTGCTGACCCAAACATGCCGACCAAGGTAGAAGGCAAGATGGATGGTTGACCAAATACAGGAACAGAAGGTACAGACGACTTCGCTGGATCCTCAACCATGCTGTCTTCAGTGTTTACTTGATTATTGTCCCAGGGTGAGATTGCAAAGGGAGAAGTGGGATTAGCAAATACAGGTGAGGAAGCTGCAACAGGGGTCGCAGAAAACCCAAAAGCAGGGCTTGAAGAGGCACCAGAGGACGAATTCAATACTATCGGATCAGTGTTTGTAGTAAACATGGAGGAAGCCGAAGAATTTCCTTCAAATTTAATGCCAAAAGTACTGGTGCTGTTGGAAGCAGCATTGATCCCAGGAGTAGAAGCTGAAGAACTGGCACTAAAACTAAATACACCAAAAGAGGCACCACCGACGGTATTAGTCCCAGAAGAGGAGGAACTGGCACCAAAACTAGATAAGCCAGTTGCACCACTGCTGGAGCAAACTGCATTGACGCCTGAAGAACTCCCAACATATTTAAACAGACTAGACGTTGGCTCATTTCCAGAGCTAATTCCATTGGTAGTTGATGCAGAAGCCAAACTTGAACTAAAACTGAAACTACTATTTTGACTTAATGCTTGGGAACTTACAGTGGATGAACCAAATGAAGTACTGCTGGAGATATTGAAGGACGATAATGATGCAGATGTACCAAACTGAATGGGTGTGCTCTGTGAGACAGTTCCAATGGAGGACGTCAAAAATCCACTGGCAGCAGCAAGAAAAGAACCCTGAGATTGAACATTTGCAGTTGAAGACACAAGTGAAGAACCAAGTCCAAAAGTGTTACTTCCAGAGCTTTCCACAAATGATAAAACGCTAGAGCTTGTATTACTTGAGCTGCCAGAAATATTATTGTCCTCTGCTTTAGATTGGAAAACTGTTGGTTCTGATACATTGGAAGTTGTTGATGCTGAAACAGCAGTGGATGGATCCGCAGAAATACCAAACTTAATAACGGGTGAAGGTGCCACATTAGACCCAAAATGACAGCTACTGAAGGCAGTAGTGAAACTGGGCACGAAGTTTGCAATGCCGGTAGAAGGGGTAAATGAAAAGGCAGGAGGGCTGGAAACAAGAGATCCATTTGATGCAACAGAAAAAACAGTTTCAGATTTTCCAATTGTGCTGCCAGCCTTTTGCATATTCTGATCATCCCCTTTGTTTGACTCGGTAATTATTTGCTGACCACAAGTCGCATTAGAAAGAAGATTTACCGAGCTGCACACGCATTTTGCAATTCAAGAATGTTATGAAGTTAAATAAAAAATATATATATTAAAACGCTTTAGTGCTTGTGTGAAATGATCATTTGAAAAGTGATTTTTTTTTAGAGAATGTGTAGTTAAAATGTAGGGAAAGGTTATGGGGGAACGTGAAAAATGATTTATTTATTTATTATAATTTATTTATTTATTATTATTAATTATTATTTTATTATTTTTTTTTTGTGGTTGAAAATGAGTGTGGGGGAAAAAAGTGTTTTTCAAATAATCACTTTCAAACAAGGGGCTTAGGTTTTAGAAATAAGCTCTTGTTTATATTGATTTTTTGAGAAGTGAATTTGTGAAAAGTGAATAAAAGTGCTTCTCAAATAATCACTTTCAAACAAGGCTTAGGTTTTAGAAATAAGCTCTTGTTTATATTGATTTTTTGAGAAGTGAATTTGTGAAAAGTGAATTTTTTGGAGAATGCGTAGTTAAAAAAAAAGGGAAAGGTTATGGATACTGGTGAAAATTAATTTTATTGAGAGAATGTGTTGTTGAAAAACGAGTTTGAGGAAAAGCGATTTTGAAAAAATCTAAATTAAACAAGGGTTAAAGGTAATTTCTTCTTGTCCAAGTTCCATCTGTTGATCAATTTTGCTACCAGGGGTTCTATATGCAAAACGTAATATGGATTCACTTCTTTTTTCATGTCTTGTCAAGCGTATCTGATGTCTGGTGAACTTAGAAACTTAGATATGCACCATCATGCATATTAACAAATTAAAACTCTTCCAACTTCAACAGAGACAGATTTTGTATGGACAGCTTGTATATACCCAAATCCAATACTTAAGTTTAGGATTGCATTACAGTTTCTAGGTCCAGTTACTCAAGGTATTAAGACAATGACAGAATAATATTTTTGACATATATATATCGGGCTTTAGAGAAAGGAAGAGAGAGTGCATGACAGAGTTTGGTTCTCTGAATGGATTTTTGCACTTTCAAGAGTGATTCGGGCAAACTTGGAAAGTGTAATTTAAATTCTTGCCAAGGCATAAATTTCAAAACAAGTCATCACATAAAATAGTTAGTGCATGTCAGGCTTAAAGAGAAAAGAAATAGAGAAAAAATATAAGCTTAACTACATGATTGTGTCTTGCTTCCTGAGGTGAATTACACATTTTAAAGTGAATTTGGAATAACTCAGAAAGTGAATGATAAACTCTCATATCAGAAAATTTCGAGCATAAAAATTGCACAATTTTGAAAAGGAGACGAATAGCAGCAAAACATCAAGAATATAATGAAAACTTTCAAATGATATGTTATCAGAAAATGCAGCAAAAGGTCATGGGGCACTAGAAAGAAAGAAAAACTACTTAGTTGAACTCGAAAGCAGTTTGCTACATTAATCACAATGGTGACTAACCTGCTTGAACTTTCTGGTTTAGATTCCGACCAAGTAATTGATTTTCTGTACGATAACTCAGAAGGCAAGGATGAAATCGCAAGTGATTGTGAATTGTTCGCTTCCTTTGGTTTGTCAAAATTGAACACTGATTGAGGAAGCAGGTTTGATTGGAAGGATGTGCTTGGTGCCTGGGAAGCCGTGGAGGCAAAGAAAGTGCTTTCTTTTCCTACAATGATTACCCCAGAACTTTCCATATCACTGTTTTTGCTAGACAAAGGACCTGAAGGTGACTTCATTTCCATCTGAATAGTGGTTTTCTCCAATTTCAGTTCAGCAGGTGAAGGCTTTCCGTCATTGACAGCTATCTCCGCTGTTTCTTTCCTATCGCCTAATGGTTGAGGTGCAGGCTCGTTAGAATCTCTATAGTCATCCTGCTCCAAATAATCCTACAAAAGACATAAAATTTAATATCACAAGCTCCATAAGCTGGATTTTCATTACAGAAAATCAGTCAATTCTCAGAGGGCCTTCAGCATAAATAAGCGTATTCAAGAATCACCAACTACACTTGAAGCCCCAAATATGCAGATGTGACCTAACAAATAACCTAAACTCATAACAGAT